GAATGGAAAGCGAGCTCGATCGGAGCAAGGAGAAAGCTCCGGTGGCGTTTGGGAGGCGAGCGTGAGATCGGGCAAACGGAGAACCAAAACGTTCTGGGCGGCAAAAGGCACAGAGAGGGAGGAGCCGGATGCTGCAACGGGCAGCACGGGGGAGGTTGTGTCGGATGCAGCTGAGGAGAGGGGGCGGGAAATGGAGAGCGCTCCCCAGGTCGATGATCGGAACGCGTTCTCGATTCCGGTGTGTAACCTCTGCGTGTGCCCCTCGAACGTGTGCACGCATGGTGCCTCTCGCGGTGCTGCGACGGTGTTGCCCATGGAAGCTGAGGGCGTGCAGATGGAAGTGCCCAAACTCGTTCGCCCGACGGACTCCTGGCAGGTCCACGACCCCGAGGTGTCGCTGCTGCAAAGGCCTGTTCGAGTCAGCGAGCTCACGGCCCGGGATTTCGAAGAGCTTAGTGATGCAAAGAGTTTTTCCGCCCCGTGCCCGCGAGCGCCACCTCTTTGCCGGACCAGATGGTTGGGGTTGTGGCAGAGTGCACAAATATACGACTTGTATTGGTCGCAAGAGGTAAAGATAATTGCGCATAGCTCTATATCCTTTGTCTTTCTTGCTTGGAAAGCTGACGCATGAGTTGGTAGAATCGACATAAAGAATACTTCATCAATGAGAGCAGACGGTTTGTATAAAGAGCCGCGCAATGTTTCAAGCTAGATTTCGATGCTTCAACCTGATTCTACTAGCCGAAGTCGGGATTGAATTAAAGCTGCCAGTCAGCAATGGGAACCGTTTGGATTCTACTCTTGTGCAGGTCAAGCTCCGGATCTATTGCTGCGCGTGCCCCGAGAAGCATACCGTTCATTTTAATGGAGAGGCGTTCGGACTGTACGCATGGACGCGAGGGCTGATCGTCACACAAGCCGCGTGTCAAATGCTGCTACGATCCGTTCAGAAATCAGGAGCTGCTTTCAGCTCGCTCGTCGCAGCTGGAAATGATGTGCGGCGCCAATACAACCCCGATGCGACACTCTTGTCGGAGGAGTGTTGGCGTAAGGCGAGCCTTGGCTTCTTTAAGCTGTGCGGGCGGCAGATCATGGAGTGCTGCTCTCTGTGCGGGCCACATCCGGAGGTATGTTTTGCAACACTTGACGTCCACGTCCGCAATCCATGAAGGCACTCGGTGCTTCCAACCACAATTGAAATCCTTATGCACCTTTTAGCCATTGCCGACGTCATCACTGCGCAAGCTGGTCTTGCTGCCGTGTCCAAGTGTCCAAGGTCTAGCACAAACTTTTTGCGGTCGCTCGTTGCTGACGTCATCAGTGGAAGAGCCCGTCTCGGCGTGTCCAAGTGTCCAAGGTCTACATCGCAAATTTTCCAGCTTGCCGCCCAGGTGCCGCAAGCTGCCGGCGGCAGTTACGGCACATGCCGTCAGGGTGTGCCGCTCCGGCAGTCATCGAGGTGCCGCAGCCTGCCGTTCGGTTGTGTTGGTGCCGGCAGGCAGCCGTCCTGGTGCCGAGACGGCAGGAGCGGCACAGGTACCCGGCGCACGTGCGGCACTCTGGGGCCCGGTGCACGTTGTGGTACGGCACATGCAGTCTGGTTGTCAGGCAGCCGCAACGGCATGTGTACGATATTGGCACGGCATGTCATCACCATGTCATACGGCACGAATCTCATATGTGCGACGTTGACATGGCAAGACACAGGGATTGGCCGGCATAGGCAACATTCTGAGGACCAGCGCAAAGTTTACGCAGAAACCTCGAAATGGATGATGGTCGTAAACTTTGCGCAAAACGACGAAATTGCATATAATAAAACGACTAGCTACAATGTTTTTGCCTAGGACACTTAGGACGCCACGATGCTCTCAGAATGCACGAAAAGCCTTTCTCAATGCCCAAAACTTCTGCAAAAACTTCCGCCCTGCGGTGCAGCGGAGGAAAACTGAGCGAAGCAAAGCGAAGTTTCCGCCCCGACTTCGCTCCGCTCAGGGGGGCTCCAACTTTGCTTTGCTTCGCTTAGTTTTCCTCCACTTATTGCAACATGGATCTGCTACCAACAAAGTAGAAACTTCCTTCAAATGTAACGGCTTTCAGAACTTACATAACAGCTCCTTCATAAGCGTTGCTCCCGCGTTCCTGCGGAGATAATGCGCCCGAATGAGTCTAGGCGCGCAGATTACGCTGAAACCTCCATATCCCTCACCAGCGTAAGTTGTGCGCCAGCAGCAAAGACACATTGAAAATGACAGGCACTCACGTAATTGGTCAAGACATCAATTGAGATCAACCTACATACTACCGTCAACGCTTGACAAGGTAGTATAACTCGTGTCTCACCCTCAATTGTTGCCTTTCTTGATCATCACGCAGACCTTGATTGACAACAATGCTTATCCTGCAATGTACAATTAGCAGACAAATGAGCGATTGAGGTAATCAGTGGGAATGATCCAACTCAATATCGAGCTGCAAAGCTGGTTTGTACATGAGAACTCTATCAGCAAACATTGCAATGATAATAGTCAAGATGAACAACTCTCACACAATTCTTCAGAGAATCCACTTGAGTCACTTGCACGTACCCAAATGGCGGTAACTTACTATGCCACTGCGGCATCCGGTGCCATCTTCAAAAGACTCACATCTATTTGAATCTCTTACTTTATCTAGCTAGAGCCTCTTGATTCAGAGTTCTGGAAGCCGAGCATAATGTTGCATATGCTCTCTTTCCTTTGGGGTTGTCTCCACATGTTGCGCTCCATTTGGAAGTCAGCCGCCTCTTGTCTGACATCTGCGATCCCCGGCCGCCATTGCTCCGCTGCTCTATTAACGCACACGGACAATGCCGTTGCAGGGTGTCATTGCACTGAAATCTGAAGGTAACTTGGAAGGCCCGCGCCATGTGGCGCCCTACAACACGGCGCCCGAGTCATGGGTTACCTAGCTAGCGACCTACTTCATTGTCGAGTCTAGGCCTATATGATGTGTCGAATCTAGGCCTAGGCTGAGTCTAGGCTAGGTAGGTAGGTAGGTCACTGCGTGAGTGACTGAGTGAGTCGAATTTTAAATTTGAACTACCTATTTGAGTTGGCCACGGGCCCGAAATTTGAACTCCGACCGTCGATGCGATCATCGACGGCGGATGGAGAGATCGCAGATCGACGGTACATACCCTAGGCCAGGTATGTACCACTCTGAGTAGTATGGACTCGGGAGGCGCCACAGGACCGACCGCGGTGCGGTCCGGGGATAGGGACCGGTTGGCGACACGACACGTGGGCACGGCCCTAGGTTGGCCGCTCAAATTTCACCCGGAAATTGACAGCGGCCGGCCGGTAATTTATATATATATTTACTGATTACCTACCCAAGCCGCAATCGATAGTAGCTTAGTGGTAGCGCGCCTGGTTTTCTAAGGCTGCGATCGGAAAATGATA